CATCATTTTTTGTGAATATTTCCATACCATTTTTCCTCTACATTACAAGTTAATTTATAATTCTATTTATTTATTTTTTTTTCTAAGAAAAAATTTTCTATTTTAAATTTATATACGAATTAAAATATATTAGTTTTCTGTTATACTTTCCTAATTTTTACTATAGCGAAAAAATTTATTTACAAAAAAAACAACAAATAAATTAAAACAATAATTTAAACCTCTTATATGTAGATATGTATATGTACAAACGTACATATGTATGTGCAATTTATATGATTGTTTACATATCAACTTGTCATTAACACATTTTACAAAAAAAAATGTTCATATAATGTAGAGAAAAATCGCAAATATTTTATTAATTTTTCATTATTATAAAAAAAAAAAATATCAACAAAAAAAATCTTCTCATATGTACGATCACAGAATATGTATATAAATATGTATATAAAATGTATGGCTATGTACAGATATAATATACTTGAGTATAACAATATAAATCACTTAAGCAAAAATTTTATATGTTTTCATTTCCTTATGCTACGAGTATATATATAAATAGCATTATAGCGTATATCTTAAGCTCTAGCTAACAAATTTTAAATTAAGTATAAACAAACTCTTTTATACATACTTATATACTTATACAATATTTAAGCAATAACACTTATAACAATTTAAAAACCCACAAAATTATAACAAAACAAAAAAAGAAAAATTAAAAGAAGAGCAAGCAAAAACAAAAAAAAAATAATGTAAACAATTTTGCAATAATTTTGTGACAACTTAATTTGTAAATTTATACACGAACTCATCTACATATATATATAACTATGTACAATACATATGTATGTATGTATGTAATATGTAGGCTTTTATTATAAAAACATATCAAAGATATTCAATCATAACTTTTATACAAGTTTTATACACATATATATAGTATGTGTATATATATGTATATTACATGTGTGTATGTATATAAATAATAAACATTATAAATCTTTTAAAATTATAGCTTTATGCAGAATGAATCCTTAAAATAATAATCAAAGACTATTCAAATAAAATTTAAGTTTTATGAATCAACAAAAATAACAAATTACAATGAAAAAAAATAAATTAAATCAGAAAACAACATATTCATGTGTACATACACACATATACAATTTATTTGTTTATATATAAAATTTTAATATAAGTATGTAGAAAAATGTAAAAATATACTGTAAATGATGAATTTTAACAGTAAAATGTAATTTTAAAAAACCATTTTAACTGTATTAGCCATTTGCTACGTTCAGTTCCATTCAAGGATATCTCAGGTTATTTACTTCATAAGTTGACACCGCGATTATAATATCTATATGGGAAGGCTGCAATAAGCCGTAGCTAAATATACCATATATGTAAGTACTATAAATATACCATATAAGTACTAGAATATTTACCCTTAATATTGTCGAAATAATTTTGAAACACCATCTAATCAAATCTATTGCAATTTCAGTATTTCTAATGTGTTATACTAGTTATAAACCGCAGTGAAGATTCTACTGTATACTTGTAACAATAAATCTTATCTCATATGTAAATAACATACAAACATACATTACGTATTTTCACATTATGTTACAAGATTTTTTTTTTGTACAAAATCATTGATATCTGGTATTTACTTATTTATTTATTTATTATTATAAATATCTGCGAATTTGTAAAGTTGAAGAGGTTATGTAAATTAACAATTTGAAATAAATATATGTTTGTATGTATGTTTGCAAATATAAATTTTACAATAGTTTAAATATATTATGAATTTATTTATTTGTGCATGAATTACTTTCTGTACAAATTGCTAATTTATAACAATATATCTATGTTATGTATACTGTTATACACATACGTAAATCAAAACAAATATGTATTATACTACAAGACGTATATAGTATGTATAACAATAACATGATTTTATAAGTATATTTCTTATTTGTATATGAGTAATCAAATATTGTATAAGTATGTATAAATATACTACTTAAATATCAATATAAAATAAACTTAATGTAAATTTTAAATTGTTATTCAAATTTTTTTATTTAATTTAATATTATTTTAACATAAACTTTCTTTCTAAATCTCTGAACAGTAAATGAAAAACTTATATACAAATATATACATAAATTAAAGACACAACATTTTTTTTTAGAAAGTTTCTCTATATGGACAAAATTTATTATTTTTTTAACATTCTATGTATAACGATTTTAACACACTTTTTTCAATTTTATTCTAAATATTTTATAAATTCTGAAATGTTATTTATTGTGCCCTATATTTTTATTGAATATTTTTTTTATTTAATAAGTGTTATAAATGTTATTTTAGCAAATAAACAATATTTTATAAATGAACAAATAATAAATTGTATAAGAAAAACACGCTTAAGGGATTTAAAATTAAATTATACAAGTTTTAATCAAAATATAATAAATTCAAAAATGCATTATATTAGCAAATTTGTGCAGATTTTGATAATATTTGCAGTTTTGTGCAGATATATCAATACTTAGTATACTTTATCTTAATATAATTTTAAAGACATGTTTCTCTACACATATTATTATCTATCGTGCACCGACCGCAGTTAGAAAGCCAGGACCACAAGAAAAGTATGTTCCTTCTCTTTCAGAGAACCAGATGGCTTATATAGTTCACTTGTAATAATACGCTCAATTACGGCCTAGTTATCACTGGGTAGCGGTAACAAATCGGCACATTTATGCTAAGCAACACAAGCCAAGTTAACCGACAAATACATATGATATATATGTTAAAATAACTAATCAAAATTTTTGGCGATAAATATAATTTCAGCGAAAAACAAAGAACGTATGAATTTTGTTACAACAAAAAAGAACTGTCACACATTATGTGACATTACGTCAGACATATAAAATATATTTCGAAAAAATAACGTTTTAGAATTTCTGTATAACATGTTAAAATTTCTGTAATACATTATTTTATAAACATAATTTTATAAAACTCATAATTATTATTAAAATCTACAATATTATTTATCTTTTTATAAATTTTAATATTGCGGTTGTATACAGTTGTTTTAAATTATTTATTATGTATGATATTTTTTGAATATTTATACATATATACATACTTGTCCGCAACATAACTTTAAAATTTATTCACGTCATCTTAATCTTTTTAATATTTTTATTCTTTTGTTCTTAAATTTATTCCACTTTTCAATCGGTCATTTTTAATATAAACTTAGTCAAAAAATATAATTATATGTATAACGTTCTTGAACAAAGAATCAAAGATATAAATTATATGTATACATATGTATGTATGTATGAATAATCAAACATAATAGTTCAATTCAAAATGTAAAATGCTATAATTATATTAATTTTCAACGAAATAGAATGAAGAATATGAAGAATTTTATAAATCAACATTATCTCTCAATATAGTTTTTGAACTAAATGTTGCTAAGAATAACGTAGCTATGCAATTTAAAATTTCATTTGATTACAAAATTTTGCGATACATGTTGTATACATAATTGTTCGTTCATACAATAAGATTTTTTAAATAAACTTTATAAACCAACTCATACAAAAACAATGTTGCGTATAAATGTTGCTAACAATGAAAAATATTGTTCAACGATAATTCAGAATTAAACTACATATGAAACATGCTTATAAACATATAAATGTTTATAAGCATTATGTGTATAGAAAAATATTGTTCGTGTTGATAACAATTGGTATGATATGGATCAGTAGATGTATGTTAAAAGGTTTGTTTATGTTTTTTTTTGTTAAAAAATATGAAATTCTCTGGAATTTTTTTTATTCTTCTTGTCTTTCTCCATTCTGATATAATGATTCGATCAAACTCTTAATTTCGAAATTTCGGAATAAAAAAAGATATAGAATTTTAATAATTGTTTTTTGTTTCTTTTTATAGATAATTTCTAATTCTTATGATATTTTGGTATTTATCATGTTTATACTGTTTCATTCTTCGTAACTTCATCGACTTGAAATTTTTATCCGCTTACCGCTGCTAATATTTTTATTTTTTTATTTTATATAATATGAAAACTCGTTGAGTCGCTGTATATTGAATTTTAATTTTATGTGTGGGTGTGTAACATACTCATAAAGTATGTTTATAGGTATGTATGTATATACGAATTTATTATGTTAAGCTGCACGATCTATTATACGATTATAGTGAGTAAGTAGTGTGTGGTGCCAAGCAATTCTCTATCATCTATAATAATATTATGCTTATGCTTGCTTGCTTGCTCAGAGGAGTCAAATTTCAAACAAAAAAAAAGAAACAATATTAAAATTAATTTTTTGTTTTTTTTTTTTTTTTCAATCAAGATGGTGTTTTTTTTTTTTTTGTGTTTATTTGTGAGTTGTTTGAGTCATTTAGGGTTTTAGAATTATTGTCATTTGTCTTTCTTCTCATGCAATGTATAAATAAGTCTATGTACATATTTATATATGTAGATATGTATTCTTAAATACTAAATTAGATAAACAAGAAAAATTGATTTAGTTTTTATAATTTTTAGTGAACACGATCAGAATATGATGCGTTTTTAATAGTGAATTCAAAATCAAAAATTTCTTGGAAAATAAATAAAAAAATATTTCCCATTTCTTTAGTCATTAATTAAGTAAATTTGTAATAAATTTTATTAGAAACTTAGTATTTTCGCATTTAAGACTACATTACAAAAAACCAAAATAACAATATTAGAAAGAGATGATTTTTAATTGAACTGTGGAAAATTTGAGTAATAAAAATATTCTTGAACATCATGTGACTACCAATAACTTTGACTTTAATGTCAAAGAAAATGAAAGAATTTTATAGAAAATATTTAATAAAAATTTCATTTTTAATTTCAAAATTTTCTAAATTACCTTTTTTTTTTTCTATATTTTCAGGCTGTCTCCTTGATGGAGTTACGCCATCGGCACCTCCAGATGTTCCACCACGTAACCCAACTATGAGCCGTATGAATGGTCGCGTAACTGGGAATACAAATGAATTAGGAGTAGATTTTGAACCTTCTTGTTTAGTAAGAACCCCATCTGGAAACGTATACATTCCCAGTGGAAATTTAAGTGAGTATCACTGTTAGTATCATTTTCAGTTTCTTTTATTTTGTTTTTTCATTATTTTAAAATTTTTATTATATTATAAATTTTTTATTTAAATTACAAATAATTTATTCTTAATACAATTAATTTTATTAATTTATTTTATTTAACGCAGATATTAATAAAGGATCACCAATTGATTATAAAGGTGGTTCAGCTTGTTCCACTCCAACAAAAGAGGGTGGTATTAAAGGTTACGAACGTAATAATTGTATGGGACCTGTGCTTCCACCACGCAGTGTTATGGGTGGTCTACAGTCACATCATCATCATTATTCAGCTCCAATGAATTTTAGAAAAGATTTAGCAGCACGTTGTAATTCAAAATGTGTTGCAATTGTTTCAACTTCTATAATAGCACTATTAGTTATATTATTTTTGTTATTAACTGGTAAGAACAAACACAAGCTACAAAAAAAAAACAGCAACTAATTCTTTTTTTTACGTTTTAAAAAAAATTATAGGATTCGGTGTACTTACATGGGCAACGTCGGCGCCATGTACAGTTCTAGTCGGTGAAGAAACATCAGAAATAACAGCAGCAAAAAGTACTAATAATGATTTAAGTAAATTACATCAAAATACACCAGGTAGATCAAAAACTGGTATTAATGGTGGTCAACCAATAACAGTAACAGCAGCAACATCATCATTATCAGCATCATCAACAGTATTAGCTGCTGTATCACCATCAATAGCAACAGCAACATCATCTAGTGTATATCCTGTTGGTATGTTCATTCAATTTTAATATTTTTTTTTTTTAACAAAAATCAATCGAATTATAAAATTTAATTGCTTTTTATTTTTATTTTTAATGTATTTTTTAACTGTTCTTGTTTTTCTTTTTTATTCTTTATTTCATTATGTATGGGTTTTTTGCATAAACTTTTCTTACTATCACAACTTTCTTTTATACATTGAATGTTTTTTGTTTTGTTGTACATTTTATTTTTATTTGTTTAATATTAAATCAAAAACTAAAATTACAAACGCAACATAAAATAAAAATTATAAAAATTGAAAACATCTTAATAAAAATCTTTATGGAACTGATGAAGGCAAACATCGAAAATTTGGAAGAATACGTAGGGATTTAGCTAAACAATATTATCCTCCTCATCATAATAATTATGATTCCATTAATTCCCTATCCGGTTCATATACTATGACAACATCCTTAAAACCCTCCCTATCTACATTTTATTCTTATATTAAAAATATTGAAAATTATCATCAGGACATTGAATCTACTAATGTAAATAGCCCAGAGACAATAAACGAATATTATGAAAGTACACAACGAATAGATGAAGAAGAACAAGAGAAGAAACAATATAAACAACAAAATATTGACAATACAATATATGATGATTTTCAATCATCAATTACCCCAACCACCAACGAATATGATGAAATAAAATCTGTTCATATATGGACAGTTAAAACAATTGATATTGATGATGAAAATGGACAGGATCAAATGTTAAATGATGGTGTACTATCTGATTATGTTGAAGATCAATTTGTTTACAAGAATAATAGAAAAGAAAATATAAATAAAAGAAAAAATTCAGAAAAATCAAATAAGGATAACTATTTTTACAATATTGAAGAAAAACATGATATTGATATATATCCGTTGGGGGATAAGGATAATATTGCAACTAATGTTAATAATAAACATAAAAACGACAATAAAAAATCACTACAAAATGGAGTTAAAAATTTTAATTCGAAACCATTAAAATTATCTTCTCATATGAAAACAACAAACAATATAAATCCTACAATAACATCCAATCCTCCATTTTTAGAAGATAAATCAACAAAAAATTATAATGATAATTTTCATGATGTGAGTGGCAAAAGAATTCTTGTTAATCTAACAATTGGTACTGATAATGGATCTGGTACTAAAAATCATGCTGTATACACTTTACATGTTTCAGTACCAGAAGATGATAACAATGAAATGCCTAATGAAATCGATAATGAACCAGATCCTAATGATTTAATGGGAGATCGAAATGAACCGAAAATTTTCCGTCACATCGATATTGGACCTGAAAATAATGAAAGAAATGGATGTATTGTTGAACCACCACCAAAATTTCCAAGTTGTCCACCATGTCATTGTCCAGTTCCAGATGCTATTAGAAAACCAAATTTTATTTTAGATGCACGTAATAATTATGAAATCGATGATAACGAAACTATTGAAATAAAAAATATTAAAAAAAATTCTAAAACGACTAAAAGTACAACACTTTCGGATAATTTTAAAAATAATTCATTTGAATTACCTACAAAATCTTCCACTTCCACTACTGAATTTCCTTCTTCATCGTTACCAGATAATTTTATAGCTAATCCTAAATGCCCTGATGTAGCACCTGTACTAATATTGGAAGGTGATAGTGTTTTATTTTTGTTCTTTTGCTTTCATTTTCATTTTCAATTTATGCATGTTTTAAAAACGCTTTTCCATTATTTGACTCAATATAAATTAAGAAAAACATGATCAGCTCTCATGATTAACCTTTTAACATTCTTACATGAAATGCGAATAATAAAACTAAAAATTTTAATGGTTAACATATGCAATATTCTAAACAATTAACATTAGCCTGAATGTATGCAATTATTTATAACTAATATACATTTTGTGTGTTTAATACAAAATTCATGATGACTATTAAAAATATTTTCATAATTACTTTTTATAGGAGCTAGAACATTCCCAGCAAGAAGTTTTCCACCAGATGGCACAACTTTTGGACAAATAGCACTAGGACAAAAATTAACTAAAGAAATTCAACCCTATAGTTATTGGAATATGCAATTTTATCAATCAGAACCAGCTTATGTTAAGTTTGATTATAGTATACCACGCGGTGCATCGATTGGTGTATATGGTAGAAGAAATGCTTTGCCAACACATACACAATACAATTTCAAAGAAGTTTTAAATGGCTTTAGTGTTAGAACAACAAGAGCAACACACGTAAGTTTTAATATAATACAGAATTTAAAAATTGAAATTTATTATTTGGACTCTTGGTTAATTTAAAAAATAAATTTTATTTTAGCCTTCCTTAACACGAGAAGTAACTCGGTATATGGAATCTGGACATTGGTTTATATCATTGTATAATGATGATGGAGATGCACAAGAAATAACTTTCCATGCCGCTATTGCTGAAGATATGACACAAAATTGCCCTAATGGTTGTTCCGGTAATGGTCAATGTTTATTAGGACATTGTCAATGTAATCCCGGATTTGGTGGTGACGATTGTAGTGAAAGTGTATGCCCAGTATTATGTTCTCAACATGGTGAATATTCAAATGGAGAATGTGTATGCAATCCAGGCTGGAAAGGTAAAGAATGTTCACTGCGACACGATGAATGTGAAGTTGCAGATTGTAATGGTCATGGTCATTGTGTTAGTGGAAAATGTCAATGCATGAGAGGTTATAAAGGGAAATTCTGTGAAACTGGTAAGTTATATAATGATAAATTTAAGAATTTCTGTATATATTTTAATGAAAATTTTTTTTTTGATATATTTTTAGTTGACTGTCCACATCCTACATGCTCTGGACATGGTTTCTGTGTTGAAGGTGTTTGTATATGTAAAAAAGGTTACAAAGGTTTAGATTGTGGTTCGACAGATCATGATGCATTACAATGTCTACCAGATTGTTCTGGGCATGGTACATTTGATTTAGATACACAAACATGCCATTGTGAAAATAAATATAGCGGTGATGATTGCTCTAAAGAACTATGTGATTTAGATTGTGGTCAACATGGTAGATGTGTTGGTGAAACATGTGCATGTGATCCAGGATGGGGTGGTGATTATTGTAATAATAAATTATGTGATGCAAGATGTAATGAACATGGTCAATGTAAAAATGGAACATGCTTATGCGTAACTGGTTACAATGGAAAACATTGTACAATTGAAGGTTGTCCTAACGGTTGTTCTAATCATGGTCAATGTCGTGTCAGTGGTGAAGGAACTTGGGAATGTAGATGTTATGAAGGTTGGGATGGTCCTGATTGTGGTATCGCTTTAGAATTAAATTGTGGTGATAATAAAGATAATGATAAAGGTAAAGAAGAAAATTAAATGTTTAATTCAATATATACATATAATTAAATAAATATATTAAATTTTGTAGATGGACTAGTTGATTGTGAAGATCCAGAATGTTGTTCAAGTCATAATTGTAAAACATCACAATTATGTGTCTCATCACCGAAACCGATTGATGTTTTATTAAGAAAACAACCGCCAGCAATAACAGCATCATTTTTTGAACGTATGAAATTTTTAATAGATGAAAGCAGTTTACAAAATTATGCAAAATTAGAAACATTCAATGAAAGGTTAGTAAAACTATAACAATATAAATTTTGTTATACAAATAAGAAAAAAAAAACTAATACATATAAAATAAGAATATTTAAAAATGATGATTAATAATAAGTTAAGGAGGATTTTTAATACTAATTTGGTAAAGAGCAAAAATTCAGATAGTTTTATTTTTTAAATTGAATTTTTTTTTTTTCTTTAAATATTTTGTGTTTTTTTTCCGTCAAGAAAATACAAGCAATTTATATTTACAAAAATTTATTGCTATAATTTTATTGAAAATTGAAAAATTTGTTAAAGTAATTGTTTTAATAATTTAAAAATTATATTTGAAATTCTAAATTGAATTAAAATTTTAAAGTAGTAAATATATTTTTCAATAAATTTTCAATAAAATTATTGTATAAATGATTTATAAATTCAATTGCAAAAAAAATAATTAATTTTAAACTACCAAATTAATTAAAAATTTATTTTTATTTTTCATTTTATTTTATTAAAAAAACTTTTATTGAACGTATAATTTAATTTTAAATAAGAAAAAAGAAAAATTTAATTTATTGTGCCCCTGTCTAAAATACTAAATATATGTATATATATACATTTATGTATATATATGTATATATATAAAATTTTCCTATCAAATTATCAAAAAAAAAAATCCTTAGATTCCTTCCTTATTACCTCAAAAATTTTGTGTTCTTTCATCGAAAAAAAAAAAAATTTTTTTTTTATTTTTTAATTTCTTACTTGTACAATTTTTAATTTTTCTAAATTAGAGAAAAAAAAAATTTTCTTTCAATTTTTCCTTTAAAAAATAAAATTGTAAAGAAAATTTTTTATGCTTTTTTACCTGTTCATGCACAGAATAAGGAATTTTTGTATATTTATTTTAATTTTTAATTTTTTTTTCATTTTAATTTAAATTTCAAATAATTAACATTATTTTTCATTATTTTTTTTTTGTTAATTTTTTAATGTATTCAGAATATTCAAAATAATATTGAAAAATTTAAGAAATATTAGAAAATTCATTCATTATAGAGTCTCTATTAATAAATATTTTATCAGAAAAAAAAATTTTTTTTTTTTTAGTTTTGTATTTCAATTTTGTTTACTGGTAATTTAAAAAAAAATTTATTTACAAAAGGGTCCACGAAAAGAGCATATACAGGTGAAATTTTCATTAAAAATTTATAAATAAATGATTTGAATGACATTGAAATTCTAAAATAATTGCCTGCTATAAAAATTTGCACAGTTTTCCTAAAACAAATGGCAAGAATAAATTTTCTCTTAAATTCAAGAATAAATTTATTAAACAACCATAAATATTCTAATCAAAAATTTTCTTTGATTTTGAACAGTTTACTTAAGTTCTTCAATTTTCTTAACTTCAAATTTTAAAATTAAATTCAATTTTAAGAGTTATTGTATAGGAAAAATAAAATTTTTAACCCAATAATCCACTTAAACTCTTATATATAGCATATTCTGGAGTGCTCTCCTTAAATATTTTTCACAACAATATCCAACACTTTCTTGTTTGCTCAATATTTTTTCAAATAAAAGTATCCAAATAAAATACCATTAAATTTGGTTCAACAATTCTGATTTTGTAATAACAATCAAACTTGATTATCTCAAAAATCCCAATTACATGAAAATAATTAATATTTTCAATTTATTTATTTATATTTATAGGGATAGCAAGTATAGCACATATTATATAGTTTCGTCAAGTTTTTTTGTTATTCAAGTCACCTTTTTTCTTTTGCCTAAATTTAAAATTTTATTCAAAGTGATTAGTTTTTTAATACACTAAATTTCATTTTCAAATTGAATTTAAATCACCTAAAATAAATTCTTACACTCTATAGAAAGAATTTTAATATTTTTTCAAAAAAAAAAACAAAAATTATTTTAAATATTACACCTCATGATTTCAATATGTTATTCAAATGATTTTAATAATTAATTTATTTTCTTTTAAGTGCAAAATGTACATAAACCAAATTCTCTCGAGAAAAGAAATTTCTTCTCTTGGACTCTTAATATATTATCTTATATTATTATCATTTAATCGGTGTAGGATATTTTTTTTTACTCTACATAAAATATTAATATACATTTTGATTAATAATTAATATTATTCATTTAATTTGAAAAAAAAAAAATAATAATAATAATAAACTACTTTTTTTCATTAAAAAAAAATATCTAACAAAAACTTTTTTTCTTTTTTTTTTCTTATTTAATTCTTTCCTGACACTGATAATCAAAAATATTCAAAATATAAAAAAAAAAACAAATGTACGGTAACTACTACTATTACTACTACTACCACTACTAATCTACTACTTAATGTTGTTATTGTTATATAATCAACTATATTTTTCGTTAACAAAAAAAAAATGTATAAATAAATAAAAAAAAACAAATACTACATTAAATCTAACGCTACTAACATCGTAACAAAATTTTTTATCGTAAAATTTTTTTTGTATATTTAACGAAATTATTCAAAAAAAAAATAATAATGACAATGTAAACATTAACCATCATTCATATTCTCATTATTACAAAAAAAAAATATCGAATATCGAATATCGAAATCGAAAAACATAATTTAAATTTTAAAACAATGAAAAAAACCAAACAAAACCAAAAAACTAAAAAAAAAAACAAATAACAGCGTATTCTGGAACTTTTTTAATGCAAGGTAAGAAATTGGTTTTTTTTTCTAACTCCTTCATTAATCTCAGAAAATATTTTTGTTTTTTGATAAAAGTCGAAATTTCTTTAATTTTCTTTTTTTTTTTTTTAATTTAAACCCTTATATAATTTTCTGTAATCAAATTTTATTTATTTTTCCAAATTGGCATAAATTTTAAATTTCTTTTCTTTGTTTTTTAGAATTTTCATAAAATTTTTATCAATTTAATAATTGGAATTTTACAAAATTATTCTTCTTTGTTTTTATCTTTTGAAATTATTATTGTAAATTTTCTGAGATGTCATTTTCGTTAAATTTCTATTTTTTTTTTATTTTTGTTATTTCCACAAATATTCATTCAAAGATGAAAAAAAAAATACAAGTCTGTAAAACGAATGATAGTTTTATTTTGAAAAGCTTTGAGTTAGAATTTTACATAACATTTCAAATTGTAATAATAATTTTGATTTTTATAGAGATATACGAAAATTTCGCTACATTTTACATTAATAATGGTATTTTGTTAACAAATTTTGTTTATAAACGCGACTAAGCATTGAAAACCTTTGGCGTCATCTTTCTGAATAAATTTTAACTATATAATTAAACAAAAATACATCGCAATACCAAAAATGTATGAAAACACACTAAACACTCATTTCCCTACATTTCATCTTACATTAATAAATTTTTGAATCATAATGAAATGAGTATCAAAAACTGTGCTCAAAATCCGAAAGAGAAAGGTGTCATATGTAAATGTGACATTTGCAGGTAGATTGCAAATACAGTCAAATTTTAAATCCTGATCAACTACATCTAAATTAAAATCTACAATATATGCGCAGTTGTAGTTGACTGCTTCTCTGAATGACATTTCCGTTTACCGATTTTCAAATAGAACAATAATCTGACAAGCAGCTTATAGAAATTTTCTCTGTCATAAATATAATTGAAATATTTATTCGAGATATTTAAATATAATAATGTAAATATTAAATTAAATAGGAAAAGAAATGTTTTTTAAAATTCATACTCAATGCTAGAAACATTTTATAATTACTAACTTTCTATTTTATATTTTTATTGCTATATTATTAATTTGTAGAATTATACTAATCATAAATATTAATCAAATATAACATATTATCTAACAAATAAGATTGATGCAAAAAGTAGTATTTTATTTGGAAAACAATTATAGTTAGTTAAACACTTTTGTTGAAATATAATTTTAAATTTTTTAATTTTGTAAATTAAAAACAAAAAAATATTACAAGATTAGCAACAATACTATAATTTAAAATTTTAATATTAAAAGTACAAACAAAAAACTTGTTATTTAATTTATTAAATTAAAAAATGCTTCTTCATTCATTTTATTTAATTGTAATTTTATAATTGAAATTATATGCATGATATTTTATTAATTTCATTTATATTTTAGAATACTAAATTGGTTATAAAACGTTTAATTGCATACTAATACAAATTTAAAAGAGAAAAGCATAAAGTCTTAACAATAAAATGTGCAAGATATTTAAATTTGTAATATTGTTTCGGAAAATTTAGAATTATCGAATTGATCCATGCAAACGATTAATTAATAAAAAATTTAATTAATTAAAAAGACTTAGTTAAGAACACAATGCGGGAATAAAAATTTTTTGCACGTAAATACTTAATATTAAAAAAAATTTACGAAGAGTTGCCAAATTAATTGATTTGACTTTATGCTAGATATTAAGCTTTAAGTAAACACAAAAATATTTTTGAGAAACTTTTTAACTATTCCATTTTAAATGCATTCTTTTAGTATTAAAGCATTATTGAATTTAAATTATTAAAAAAATATACAAATATTATAATTTTAAAATACATTTACATAAACTTATTATCTAGTACATGCAAATATTATAATCTTAATGTATAATATTACCATATACATTCGACATTTTTAAAAATTTTATTATAATAAGAAAATCTTTTTCCTAATATTGTGTCTGTCATTTTTGTGTATATGTGAATTTGTTAATTTTTATTTTAATTTTATTTTTAAGTTTTGAAAAAAAAAAATATTTTTTTTTTTAATTATTATTAATGAAAACAACCAACAAAATTATAAATTTTATATTATTGAAATAAATTATTATTTCGAAATTTTAAAAATTCATATTTGAAATTATAATAATTATTGAAAAAATATTTTTTGAAATTTAATTTTTTATTATTTTATAAATTTTATTTTAAGTTTCTTGCTTTTAATTTATAATTTATAATAAAAAAAAAAAAAAAACAAATTTTATAATATTGTAATAATTATAAAATTCAATTTTTTTGTAGTCGATCTGCTGTTATACGTGGCCGTGTTGTAACATCACTTGGTATGGGCTTAGTTGGAGTACGTGTATCAACAACAACACCATTAGAAGGATTTACATTAACACGAGATGATGGATGGTTTGATTTAATGGTTAATGGTGGTGGTGCAATAACATTACAATTTGGACGTTCACCATTTCGACCACAAAAACGTATTGTTCAGGTTCCATGGAATGAAGTTGTTATTATAGATGTAGTTACTATGACAATGTTAGATGAAAAACCAATTCCGAGCATAACACATACATGTTTCTCACATAATTATGATAATATGAAACCGGTTGTATTAGCATCATGGAAACATGGTTTTCAAGGTGCATGCCCAGATCGTTCAGCTATATTAGCGGAATCTCAAGTTGTACAAGAATCATTACAAATACCCGGTACCGGTTTAAATTTAGTTTATCATAGTTCACGTGCTGCCGGTTATCTATCAACAATTAAATTACAATTAACTCCCGAAGAGATTCCACCAACCTTATATAGAATTTATTTACGTATAACAATTGAGGGTATATTATTTGAAAGAATATTTGAAGCTGATCCTGGTATTAAATTTACATATGCATGGAATCGTTTAAATATTTATAGACAAAGGGTTTATGGTGTAACAACAGCTGTAGTAAAAGTAGGTTATCAATATACTGATTGTAAAGATATAATTTGGGATACTCAAACAACAAAATTAAGTGGACATGATATGACAATATCTGAGGTAGGAGGTTGGAATCTTGATATACATCATAGATATAATTTCCATGAGGGTATATTGCAAAAAGGTGATGGTTCTAATATATACTTAAAACATAAACCGAGAATAATTTTAACTGCTATGGGTGACGGACATCAAAGGCCTTTAGATTGTAATGATTGCGAGGGTATAGCTTATAAACAACGTTTATTGGCACCAGTTGCTTTGGCATCGGCACCAGATGGTAGTTTATTTGTTGGAGATTTTAATTATGTCCGTCGTATTATGACTGATGGTACGGTTAAGACCGTTGTAAAATTAAATGCTACACGAGTTTCATATCGATACCACATGGCTTTAAGTCCTTTAGATGGTACATTATTTATATCAGATCCGGAGTCTCATCAAATAATAAAGGTTAAAAATAAGGATGATTTTAGTAATCCGGAACATAATTTTGAACCGGTAGTCGGCTCAGGTGAAAGATGTCTTCCAGGTGACGAAGCACATTGCGGTGATGGCGCTTTAGCTAAAGACGCTAAATTAGCTTACCCCAAAGGAATAGCAATTTCTAGTCAGAATATTTTATACTTTGCTGATGGAACAAATATTAGAATGGTTGATCGTGATGGTATTGTAACAACTTTAATTGGGAATCACATGCATAAATCACATTATAAACCCTTACCATGTGAAGGTACATTAAAATTGGAAGAAATGCATTTAAGATGGCCAACTGAGTTAGCTGTCAGTCCACTAGATGACACTCTTCATATAATTGATGATCACATGATTTTAAGAATGACCCCTGATGGTAGAGTGAGAGTTATTTCGGGAAGGCCATTGCATTGTGCCAGTACAATAACTACATACGATAGTGACCTAGCAACACACGCAACACTCGTTATGCCACAAAGTATAGCATTTGGTCCTATGGGCGAACTTTATGTAGCTGAAAGTGATTCGCAACGTATCAATAGGATTCGCGTAATTGGAACCGATGGCAAAATATCAACTTTTGCGGGAGCCGAATCAAAATGTAATTGCTTAGAACGTGGGTGTGATTGCTTTGAAGCTGAGCATTATTTAGCAACTAGTGCTAAATTCAATACAATTGCCGCAATTTCAGTCACTCCTGATGGTCATGTTCATATTGCCGATCAGGCCAACTACAGAATTCGTTCTGTTATGCCAAGTATACCTGAAGCAAGCCTTTCTCGGGAATATGAAATATACGCCCCCGATGCCCAAGAAATTTACATTTTCAATCGATTTGGACAACATATTGCAACCAGAAACATTTTAACTGGCGAAACGACTTATGCATTTACATACAACGTTAATACTTCAAATGGTAAATTAAGTACTGTAACTGACGCTGCAGGCAACAAAGTATTTTTCTTAAGAGATTACACATCCCAAGTGAACTCGATAGAAAATACCAAAGGACAAAAATGCCGTCTGAGAATGACAAGAATGAAAATGTTACATGAATTAAATACACCAGATAATTATAATGTTACATTTGAATATCACGGCCCGACTGGCCTTCTAAAAACCAAATTGGACTCAACAGGAAGATCATATGTTTACAATTATGACGAGTTTGGTCGATTAACATCAGCTGTTACACCAACGGGACGTGTAATCGATTTGACTTTTGATCTCAGTGTCAAAGGAGCCACTGTTAAAGTTTCTGAAAACGCCCAAAAGGAGATTTCTATGTTAATTCAAGGTTCTAGTGTCGTTGTACGTAACGGTGAAGCTGAGTCGAAAACGACCATTGAATCGGACGGAGGTACAGTTAGTTCAACTCCTTGGGAACAAACAGTGCAAATGGAAACTGTTCCATATCCCATTCTTTCTGAAATTAATCCAGTCTTCGGTGAGAGTTATCCAGTTCCAGCAAAACAAAGAACTGAAATTGCAGGAGAATTAGCTAATAGATTTGAATGGCGTTATTTCATTAAAAAACTTCAAAGTGGAAAAGGAAATAAAAATCAAAGATCTTTGACTCAAATAGGAAGGAAACTCAGAATAAATGGTGATAATGTGCTAACCCTTGAATATGATAGAGATAATCTTTCTGTTATGGTATATATTGACGAAAAACAAGAACTATTAAACGTAACTTATGACAAAACAGCCCGTCCCATTTCATTCAAGCCACAATCTGGAGACTATGCTGATGTTGACTTAGAATATGATCGATTTGGTCGGTTGGTTACTTGGAAATGGGGTGATTTGCAAGAAGCTTATACTTTTGATAGAAATGGTCGACTAAATGAAATAAAATATGGAGATGATTCTTCAATCGTGTACTCATTCAAGGATATGTTTGGCAGTCTCCCGTTGAAAGTAACTACACCAAGACGTTCCGATTATCTTTTACAATACGATGATGCTGGAGCACTACAATCCTTAACCACTCCGAGAGGACATATTCATTCGTTCTCTCTGCAAACTTCTTTAGGATTCTTTAAATATCAATATTTCTCTCCGATAAATAGACATCCATTTGAAATTTTATATAACGATGAAGGTCACATTTTAGCTAAAATCCATCCTCATCAATCTGGTAAAGTAGCTTATGTATACGACAGTTCAAGCAGACTGGAAACGATACTTGCTGGCTTATCATCGACACACTATTCTTATCAAGAAAAAACGGGACTTGTTAAGGGCGTTGAAGTTCAAGAGCCCGGATTCGAATTAAGAAGAGAATTTAAATATCATGCAGGTATATTAAAAGATGAAAAATTGAAATTTGGCTCAAAGAATCCATTAGACTCAGCTCATTTCAAATATTCTTATGATGGCAACGCCCGACTAAGTGGCATTGAAATTGCTGTAAATGAGAAAGATTTGGCAATGACAAGATATAAGTATGGCCAAAATTTGGGCAACCTTGAATTAGTTCAAGATTTGAAAATCACCAGGAACGCATTTAATCGCACAGTTATACAGGACGCAGCCAAACAATTCTTTACAATAACAGACTTTGACCAGCATGGTCGTGTCAAAAGTGTTTTAATAAATATTAAATCATTTGATGTCTATAGATTGGAATTGGATTATGATTTAAGAAATAGAATAAAGTCACAAAAAACAACATTTGGCAGGTCAACTTCGTTTGACAAAATTAACTACAATGCTGATGGTCATGTAATAGAAGTTGTCGGTAGCAATAACTGGAAATATTTATATGATGAAAATGGAAACACAGTTGGCGTAATTGATCAAGGAGAGAAAACAAATCTAGGATATGATACCGGTGATCGCGTTATTCAAGTTGGTGATATTGAATTTAATAATTACGATGCTAGAGGTTACGTAGTTAGACGCGGTGAACAGAAATATCGTTATAATAATCGAGGCCAGCTTATTCATGCATATGAAAGAGATATTTTCCAAAAATGGTATTATTATGATGACAGAGGTCGTTTAGTGGCATGGCACAACAATAAAGGCAACACCACGCAATTCTATTATTCAAACCCTAATAATCCGTCCCTAATAACACATGTTCATTTCCCTAAGGAAGAAAAAACTATGAAATTGCTTTATGACGACAGAGATATGTTAGTGGCAATAGAAGATAGCGAACAGCAAAGATTTTATGTTGCTTGTGATCAAAACGGAAGTCCATTAGCTTTCTTTAATATAGAAGGAAAAATTATTAAGGAAATGAAACGCACTCCATTCGGTAAAATCATTAAAGATACAAATCCAAGTCTCTTTGTACCAGTTGATTTTCATGGCGGTATATTGGATCCTGTCACTGGACTTGTCTATGTTGAAAATCGTTTATATGATCCGACTGTCGGCCAATGGATGACCCCGTTATGGGAAACATTAGCAACAGAAATGAGTCTTCCAACTGATGTATTTATTTATAGATTCCATAACAATGATCCAATTAATCCAAAGAATCCAATGCAATATATGATTGATTTAGACTCATGGTTGAAATTATTCGGTTATGATTTGAATCGTATGCAAAGTCTGAAATATACCAAAGAACAGCATTATGTGCCACAAGCAACTATTAAATCATCATCTTTAGCACCAGATTTTGGTGTAATGTCAGGCCTACAATGTATTGTTGAAAAAGTCAACGAAAAATTCAGTGATTTTGGATTTGTTCCAAAACCACTTTTAAAAATTGAACCAAAGACTAGAAATTTATTACCAAGAGTATCATATCGTCGTGGTGTTTTTGGTGAAGGTGTTCTATTATCAAGAATTGGTGGTAGGGCATTAGTTAGTGTAGTTGACGGTAGTAATAGTGTTGTACAAGATGTCGTATCATCTGTATTTAATAATTCATATTTCTTGGACTTACACTTTAGTATACATGATCAAGACGTTTTTTATTTTGTTAAAGATAATATATTAAAAACACGCGATGATATGGATGAATTAAGACGTTTAGGTGGTATGTTTAATATTTCAATACATGAAATAAATGAACATGGTGCCGTTGGTAATACACCAAAAGAATTACGTTTACACAGTTCTGATGCTGTTGTAATAATAAAATATGGTGTTGATCCAGAACAGGAAAGGCATAAAATACTTAAACATGCTCATAAACGTGCTGTTGAAAGAGCATGGGAATTAGAAAAGCAATTAGTAGCGGCCGGTTTTCAAGGTCGCGGTGATTGGACTGAAGAAGAAAAAGAAGAATTAATATCTCATGGGGATGTTGATGGTTGGACTGGTGTAGATATACATAGTGTACATAAATATCCACAATTAGCTGATGATCCGGGTAATGTAGCATTCCAAAGAGATTCAAAACGTAAAAGGCGACGAATTGGTTTTCATAGAAATAGTTCATTAGGTGAAAATAAATTAAGAAGAATGGCAACGACGTGAAGCGAATCATTCGATATTATATATATATAAATATTTAAATATAATTCATAATAATAAATTAAAAATAATTATAATGTATAAATACGAAACGATTTTAATATTAACAAGAAGATAAAAAATGATGAAAGAAAAAAACAAAATAAAATAATTAACAATAATTAATTGAAATGAAGAAGAAAAAAATACATTTTTTTTTATTTATTGAAATTCATATTTCAATAAATATAAAAAAGTGAAAAAAATTAAATAATTTGAATTATATAAGGAAAAATATTTTTTATAAATATTTCAAAATGAAACTATGTAATGAGGAACCTAAAAAAAAATTTTGTGAGATTATTAACATTATTAAAATAATCACACACAAATAAAATTCTTTGTAAATTTAACTATAAAAATCATTAATTTATATAAAAACAAAAAACAATATTCTTTTGTAAATTTTTCTTTCTTTTAATTATTTCTGGTAAACATAAAGAAACCCTATTATAAATATATATATGTATTAAGTATATACACATATATATCTGTATATCCTTTAAGTGATACTGTAATTATTATTATTATTATTAATTAATTAACTAATTATTATAATTTTATTTTTATTTGTTTTTTAATTAATTATAATGTTACAAATATAAAACAAAAAAAAAATTAAAATTTTTAAAATTGTGATATATTTCTATATTTAAAATGAAATGAAACCCATAAAATTAAAACAAAAAAATATTATAAAAAATAACTATAATAAAGAAAGCATGTATGTAATATAGGAAAATAAAGCATAATTAATTATTATTAATTAATAATTATCATTTGAACTTATTTTACATATTTTTTAAATAATTTTTTTATTTTTATATATGTATATATATATACATTAAAAATATATATACAAATACATTATTTTGTACTACAAATATTAAATAAAATTGTTTATTTTTTTTTTTGTTTATAACCAAACTAAGTTTATTAAACAAAAAATTACAAAAAAAAATTATTGATATAATTTAAATTATTAAGTTGCTTACTCATATTATTATTAAAATATAAATAATAAAAAAAAAATGGAAAATTAAATATATAAAAATAATTATATAAATAATAACTAAAATTAATAAAAAAAAATAAGAAATAACAGTAATGTCCTTGCAATTAAGATGAATGTAGAGATTAGAAATTGTAATTATATATATATATATACACTAATATTATACAAAATAAACTTGAAATAAAAAAAATGGGTAGTAAAATAAAAAAAAAAACAAAATTACCCTATAAATAACTAAAATATAAGAAGAAAATTAAAAAAAAAAATAGAGAGAGATAAATAGAGAAAAGCATGAAGAAGTCAACACTACATAACATACAAAATCCCAATTAAGTATGAGATAAAAATTTAAACGCAAAACAGAAAGCAAAACAATAAATTAAATATGCTGCAAATTTACACAATTTTCAATATACTGAAAAAAAAAATAAAAAAAACTTATAAAAAAGCAAAACAAAATTATAGAAAAATTCAATACAAAACTATTATTTTGTTTATTATTATTTGTTTCATTAAAAAAAAAAAAAAGATATTGTTATACCAAACAAATTTAATAAAAAAAAAATAATGAAAAAAAATTATTAAAATTTATGTAAAAAACCAAAATTTCTTTTTTTTTCTAATTTTATTTATTTTTTAATTATGGCAACAAAATAATAAATAATTAAATTAAGAAAATGTAAAAAAAAAAGAAAATAATTCAAAATTAGAAAAAAAAAATGACTGAAAATAATCTTAATAAAAAAAAAAGAAATCAATAGAAAAGAAAATCTTGCAATAAATAAATAGTTGTGTATAAAAATTAATTATTAAATGTATAAAAATAAGAACAATATTAATTATCAATAGAAATTAAAAAAAAAATTACAGTTTTTAAAATTTATTTAAAAAAAAATTTCTCATTTTCAATTTTTTTATCTTGAAATTTTTTTTTTTTTTAAATTGCAAAACAAAAATTTAAATAAACAGTATTTAATAATATTTTTTTATTTTTATATTAATTTTTGTCATTTAAATTTCACCAAAAAAAATATACATACCCATATATATATACTCGTATACTAAGGTATATGATTTAAAAAACAAAATATATATCAGAAAACATAGTGTATAATTCTATATACAGTTTCTGAAATTAATACTCATTTAATATATAAACATAAATTTTTGATTTTAAAATTTATATAGTTAAAATATAAAATAAAAAATTAGAAAAAAAAAATTGAATTTTTTTTTATAAAAGATTTAGTCGAATTTATTTAATAATAAAATTTAAAATAACAATAATTTTTTCATCATCTTATAGTCTCGTAACTACTTATTTACTACTAAAAATAGCATATCAATAAAATATGGCAATTCTTTAATTAAAAATGAATAATATTGTATTGAAATCTCAAAACAAAAATTTACAAAAATAAACTCATTTTAATCAAATTATACTCATTAAAAATATTTTAAATAAATTGATTTGAAATTCGAATACTGTCAAATTTAAAATATTTACAAATACTCAAATATTATTGTTTTTTTTTTTTAAATTTCATTTTAAAAATCAATTTCAAATTACATATTTATAAGATTAAAATTACTACAATTTAATATTATAATTGTAGTATAATTTTTAACTCATTTACTAAATAAAATCGAATGAAATAAGACTAATTTATAATAATTAATAAAAATAGAAAAGAAAAAACTCATTTTACCATTAAAAATACTCATATTTGCCATATGAATTATAATTTTTCAATATTAATTTGTAATAAAATAAAATAATATAAAAACAAAATTTAAAACAAAAACCATTTTTTTATAAAAATAAAAAAAAATAACCGGAAATAGCAATTATTTTCAATTTCTCTAAGAAATTTACTGCTAATTTCTCCGAAATTAAAGAATTTATAAATTCTTATATCTTGAAAAAACGCAAAACTAATTTTTAAAATAAAATTAATTTTAGTAAATAAAAAATAACTTCCAAAAAAATAATTTCGACAAAATCTTTTATTAAAAAAGAAATTTTTTTTTTTTGTTTTTTTCGAATTAAAAATTTGGAAAATAAAAATAATAATTAATGACAATGAAAAATCTCTGCCATTTTTTTTTATTATAATCTACTTATATATCTATATACATATTTGTAATATCAAAAAAAAAAAAAAAAATAATAAACAAAACATTTAATATACTACTCTCTTGTATAAAAACAAAAAATTAAGTTAATCATTCTTTTTATACTATCGAATATACTATATACATATATAAATATATATAATATATATATATATAAAAATCTCTCTATTAAATCTCTCATTTAAACACAAATAAATTTTTATATTACATTAATTAATTAATAATTACTATATATATATGTAATTGTATTGTAGCCATTCTGTAAAAAAAAAAAATATTATTATAACGTGTACGTAACTAAATAATTATTGTTAAAATTTATGTTTTTTTTTTTTTTTGTATAAAATTAAATTAAATATTGTTTTATAAAATATTTTTTAATTATAATCCCAATTATATATATACAGTATGTGTACATTATTTATTTTTTTTTAACTATATACATACATATAAATATACAGAATTAAAAATAAAAAATAATTATTGCATTTAATTAAATAAAATTGTTTTGTTTTTTTTTTTAACTATTCATTTTTTTTTTAAATATTTTTTATATATTATTTCCAAGATAGTCTGAAGAAGATAAAAAAAAAATACTATGATTATTATTTACTATTTTGCTTTCGAATTTATTCTTATATATACTTATATAACAATTCTAAGAAAAAATTAACCAAATTTTAATTTACAAAAAAAATATATAAAATATAATTTATAATTATGTAAAAAAAATTTTTGCTTTTCTTTTCCTTTTTTGTTAAAAAACTTAATAATGAAAACAAAAAATATTCTGCAATTGTAAATAAAAAAAAAATTGAAACTATTAAAATAGACTAAATATTTTGCATTTCTTTTTATCCTTTGCAAATATACACAACACACACACAAAAAAAAAACAAAAGAAAAAAAACATTAAAAGTAAAATCAGAAATCCATGTTGTCTTTTAAATAAAACAAAAAAAAAAAACAAATAAAAATAATTTAAATTAAGTATAAAAAGAAAAATATATAGAAAATAAATTTAATGAAAAAGGAAGAAAAAAAATGTATGAATAAAAAAAAAATAGCTTCGAGCGACATGCCATATACCTTTATGGACTTTTATATTTATCAAAAATAAAAATTAAAAAAAAAAAAACTAAAAAAAAATATATTTAAAAAACAACAAAAAATACAAAAAATAACAAAAAAAAAAAACAAATATGTAAGTTAAAAAAAAAAAAAATTAGTCATAAGTTTTTAGTATAGTTTTTAGCTATGCTAAGTAAGTTATACACCTAAGGATTAAAATAAAATAAATTAAAGAAAACAAAAAAATTAAAGTAAATTGAAAAATTAAAAAAGCAGTGAATAAAATAAAATTGAGAATAAAAAAAAAATAGTTAATAATATTTAAGATTAAATAAAAGAAGAAAAATAAAATAAAAAACACAAAAAAAAAACAGAACTAGGAGCTAAAAACAAATAATGTATTTACTGTATTTTAAATATACTGTCCTTAAAACCATATTAATGTTACAAGACAGAAAAAAAAAAAACAAAATAAAAAAAAAAATAAACAAAAAAAAAACATTTAAAGTTTGACATAAAAAAATAAAAAGTTGTTTTCATTCAAAAATTTCCCAAAGCAAAACAGAGAAATCAAAATTTTTAAGGAAAGCCAAACAAATAACACCAAAAAAAACCGAATTCCGATAATGAGAAGAGAATTTTTTGAAATAAAAGCAAATTTTATACTCGATATTCTTAACACAAGAGCATTTATTATAGATAGACAAATTCCAGAATAAATTAGATATAATTGCTCAAATTAAGCGTTATCTTACGAAATCAAATTTAAACAGGTTTTTGAGTCTGTTATATTTCTAATTATATATGATATAAGAACTTTCCTTTCTACAATAATATCCAATTTATAGGCTTATTATGTAACTAATTAAATCTAACAAAATATAGCGAATGTGATAGTTTCTTTTTTTTTATATATATGGCGAATTCGCCCGATTTCCATATAAATTTGACAATATTCCAATATAAGTAAGCGAATTTTTTAAAAGTATAAAGAATTTTATTATGATAATTCACTTTAAAATATTTTCAATATTTTGTATACGAGTGCCATTCGTTATTCAATATAATAATGTGATTTGCCCAAAATGTGGGCGAATTCACCAGATTAATAGAACTTGACAAATTGATGAATTCCTCATACATAATAAGTTTATTAAACTTTTACGAAGGCACAAAGATGTCAAAGATGATTAAGTTCTGAACAATATGTAAATGCAAAATGAAATTTATGCATTATGAAAAATTTTTAATCTAGTAACATTTATTTGCATATTGAGTATTGATTGGAACATAATTTTCCTGTTTTTATTACTACTGCATAAGAATTTACTAGTTTTTTTAAACATTTAAATGAAATTTAATAAGTGTTTGAAGAGAAGTGTATCAAGAACTTGTTCTTTAAAGATTCAATGTTTTCACAATAACCAAATTATAATTTCTGTAAAAGTTTGCATTCCAGGCTTATACGCTAAT